GATGTGGGACTCGATCCCAGGACCCTGGGATCATGACCTGAGCCGAAGGCAGACGCTTAACGACTGAGCCACCCAGGCGCCCTTAATACAGTCTTTAACCCAGCAATTTCACTTGAATTTTGTTGTAAGGAAATGTAATCCGAAAAATACAAAGATGTTTGCATTTGCATGCTCACTGCAGTGTTGTTTATGATGACAAAAAATTGGAAACTACCTATATGCCTAACAGTAAAGAAATTCTTAAATAAATTATGGTAGAGCTGTACACTGGGATTCTATGCCCCCATTAAAAAGGATTAGATAGGGGTGCCTGGGTGGCTCAGTCAGCTAAGCGTCTGCCTTAGGCTCAGGTCATGACCCCAGTGTCCTGGGATCAGGTCCCACATCAGGCCCCTTGCTCAGCAGGGAGTCTGCTTCTCCCTCTCCCTCTGCCTGCCTGTCTGCCTACTTGTGACCTCTCTGTCAAAATAAATAAATTAAATCTTAAAAAAAAAAGGATTAGATAGATCTGTTTGTCATGGAAAGATGTCCATGATCCATACTGGATACCATTTTTATATTTAAAAAGTGTATGCATAGAAAAAATATGGTTATATATATCTGTATAAGTCTAACTTTTTAAAAGCAGCTTTATTATGTTTTAATTTATGCACCATAAATTCCCCATTGTAAGTGTACAATCCAATGATTTTTAGTAAATGTATACAGTTGTGCAATAATCACCGCAATCCAGGGGCACCTGGAGGGCGCAGTCGGTTGTTAAGCATCCAACTCTTGGTTTCAGCTCAGGTCATGATCTCATTGTCGTGGGATCTGGTGGCCTGTGGGCTCCCATCTCCACACTCTGCACTCAGTGAGGACTCCGCTTGGGATTCTCTCCCTCTCCTTCTGCCCCTCTCCACGCTCGTGTGCATGTGCACATGCTTCTCTCAAGTAAATAAATCTTTAAAAATAATCACCATCATCCAGTTTTAGAACTTTTTGGCTACACACCCACCCCCAAAGTTCCCTCATGCTCATAGGCTTAACTTTTTCACCGTGTCTAGGATGGGGGTGAAGTTGGGGAGGGGAAAGCGGGAGGAGAGAATGACAGCCAGCTTGTAGTTTATCATTTTTGTATTATTTGAATTAATTTACAACAAGGATATGCTTGCTCTCTTTTAATTTGAGAAAACAGTAAAGGTTTTTTTATTTTGAAAAGAACAACAAAAAAGGAAACAGATTTAAACCCTTTGACCCCAATCTACTTCTGATAATTTATTCCAAGGAAATAATCAAATATGTGGAAAAGCATTTGTGAACAAAAGTATTTATCAGTGTTTTATCTAAAACAGATAAAAGTTCTAAGTAATCTAAATATCTCATGATGGAAGAAAATAATTACTAATAATACTGGGATATGAAAAGTACAGGATGTAAACCTTTATATGCAGTACAATTTTATCCCTGTAAAAAAAAGTTAATGCACAGCCAAAAAATTCTATTTGGAAATACTGTATGTATAATAAAATCTTATCCATGGTTATCTCTGGATGGTAGACTTATAGTACTTTTTATTCCTTGTGCATTTCTTAATTTTCCATAACGAGTATGTTACCTTAATATCTAGTGCCACCTACATAAATGACAGTAATTAGAATGGGTGATGGTATTGTTTTCACAGGTGTATATATTTTTCCAAACATTAATGTTTATTTAAAATATGTGCAACTTATTGCATGCCAGTTATACCTCAATAAAACTATTTAAAAGACAAGGGGATCATCAACAAAATCATCTAAACTTCTTACTGGAAGAGGGCTTTGTTATGCCATTTTGGGGCTGGAAGACAAATTGGTTAGGGAGGGGTATGTGGGTACTATATAGATAGCAACACAACCTTTGCTCCAGGTAACTTTCTTTCCTTCCTTCCTTCCTTCCTTCCTTCCTTCCTTCCTTCCTTCCTTCCTTCCTTCCTGGGATCTGCCTTCCCATTATATGTCAGGAATGTTGCCAGGTTCTTGGATGCCAAGATGAGCAACAAATCACGGTCCTGAAAGCGCTGTCTTCTCCTGGAGGAGGGGAAGGCAGGTCACCAGCGGCAGATTCCAGCCAACGCCCACATGGCCACACTAGGCAGTCTTCCACTACTGCTGCCCGAGGGGGCCAGAGCCAGGTCAAGAAGTGAAGTTCTTAGTAAATGGTTCAGATGGAGTCACGAAGGGTGGCACCAGGGTTATGACTGTGGAAGTGGATCGGAGAAGGTAGATGACCCTCAAGAGAGTGTCGCTGTCATCACTTGAGAAGTGGGCTTAAGCAATATTTATATATTTCTGCCTCTCTTACCTGCACACTTACACCAACAGCAAGAACTAAAACTGAGCGTTTACTTGTGCAGGCCGCATGTTAAGGGCTAACATCTATTGCCTCATTTATTCTTCGCCACAACTCCCCCAGGTCTGCATTTCACCATGAAGAAACTAAAGCTCGGAGAGGTTACCCGCCCAAGGTCACAGAGCTGTCAAGCTCTGGCTCCAAAGTTCCCAGCCACAAAACATACTCCCTTCTCACAATACTCTGGGATTGCTTAGAGAGAAATGTTCCACTTTCGGGCTCCAAACGTCAGCTCAGCTTTCACTCTTTACAAATTTTCCAGATCCAGAACGGAGGCAACATCAGCTAGCACTACCAACAGGGTCGTGCCCATCCGGCAAACGCCACCAGAGCGGTGGGCCAAGGATTTGGGGCTTGGAGGGCAAACCGGGAGCGACAGTCAAGGAGCGAGGAGCTCTGGCGCCCACATCGCACGCCCCTCCGGGCTGCCTGCAAGCCCCTCCGGGCCACCAGCAAGCGGAGCTCAACGCGCGTGCGCAGGGCCAGAGGGGACGCCCCTGCGCGAGCGCGCGGTGAGCGGGGCGCGTGGCCGAGGGAGCGCGGGCGCGTTGCGGCGTCGGCGTCTGCGCGCGCTCCCGGACGAGGCTGTGTGGGCTGGGGAGCGAGCGAGGCGGCGGCGGCGCCTCAGAGCCGAGGGGACGCGCGGGCCTCGAGCCGCGGGAGCAGACGGCTGCGGGGAGACCCTGGGCTCGCGGCCCGAGGCGAGAGAGCTCGGTCTGTCGACTGCCCGCTTCAGGGGCCGCCGCCGCGTCCCTCGCCCGGAGTGGCCGCCGCCCCAGGAGACTCGCCGTGACACGGGCCTAAGCCGCGGCGGCTGCGGACGTCCGGACCGCTCAGACCCGTCGGGCCGGGCCGGGTGGGGACTAGCGTCCGGGCAGGTGCCGCCCTCTGAGGGCCGGCCGGGCGCCCGGCGCCCACCGGCGCGGCCCGTGGCCCGGGCTCAGCCGAGCGGCAGCCCGTTGCAACCCGCAACCGCAACCCCCCCCCCCCCCACCCCCCCCCCCCCCCAGGGCCGGAGCCCGAGTCGCGCCCCGCCCTCCCCGGGCACGGCCCGGCTGGAGCGGCGGGAGCCGGGAAAGCCCGCGCCCGCCGTCGCCGCCCGCCCGCCGGGCTCGCGCGGAGAAGAGGGAGGAGAAACTTTGCCTTTTATTGTTGCTTTTAGTCCTTAACTGCAAGGAACTCTGCCGGGAGGAAACATGTCCTTCTTCAATTTCCGTAAGATCTTCAAGTTGGGGATTGAGAAGAAGAAGAAGCAATACGAACATGTGAAGAGGGATCTGAACCCCGAGGAGTTTTGGGAAATTATAGGAGAATTGGGAGACGGAGCCTTTGGGAAAGTGTACAAGGTAAGAAGGAGAAAACGGGAAGTTGCACTTGTAAGAAAACAGCCACTGGTCTGCAGTGGCACGAGGATTTCTCGCTCCTCTTGTTCCTTTCCAGTCTCTTGCCCCTTCTTTTGACTTCGTAAAGGTACATTGGAACTTTATTTAGGTTATCATCCAAGGAGTAGCTAAGACCATGAGTGTAAGGTTGAACAAAATGGGGCCTGCATGTAGTTTAGACTGATAGCTAAAGGGAAGCAGGTTTATAGAGTCTCCTCTGTCAAACTTGAAAGGAAATGAGGGTGTTCGTTAATTTAAAGGAGGGGTCTGGTTTTAAAATCAGAAACTCAATGTGCTTTTCAATGGATTTATATTTGTCTACTAGCTGTTTGCATTCATTTATGCATGCTTGTGCTAAAGCAGTTCCCTTTTTAGGGTCCAGGGCATGTATTTGGTTTTATCTATGGCTAATACATAACCAGTCTTCTGGGATGAGAGCAAAGTGATTGCTACTTGAGGCTCCTCTTCAGTTGGTTGCTTGACAACATACTATAAAACGGAATGGAATTTCTGATAGAAATTTTCCATAAGAAAACCTGCATCTGGTACTAGTTTCTAAATATAATTACAGCAAGCACTGACTAGAAGTCGATACTAGTGCTTAAGAAATTTAAAAAAAAACCCATATATGCAGACATATTTTTATATATATTTCAATAGAGTTCTGATGTCTCAACGTGAAGGATTAATGTTAACTGTTTATATTTCATAAGCGGTATATGAATGATGTCATTGGAATATTTTCATCCTGAAGGGTGAGGTTTTTATGAGACACAGTTCAGGGGGAAGGACCCACAAGGTTGCCTAGAAGTGAAAACATAAATAACTTATGTTTATACAGGATTTTGCGGTTTTTAAGTCATTTTCACTAATCCCCTCCCCGCCCCCCAAAAAAGCCTGTGAGGTAGGCAGCTCAGTAATATCTGCATTTCACAGATGAGGACACTGAGACTCAGCAAATTTTCAAAGTCACTTAAGTCACAGTCTAGATTTGAACTCTAGTCTTCCGACCCTGTATTTGCTATCGTTTTTCACTTAATGTCCTTTGGTGGAAATGATAGCATTTTTCTCCGAAGTATCATCACACTTCTGCCTTTTCCCCGCCTCAGATGCATGTCACAGCTCCCAGTCCTCATTTTTTCACTCAGGTTGGAATAGCCCTCTCTGCCTTCTTTCAAAACACATTGTCACATGGTTACCATAGCACTTGTTACATATTGTAGTTAATGATAAAACTAGGGCCCTGGGTTGTGATATATGTTTGGGTTCTTCTATTGCCTGAGCACATAGTGCATCTCTCTGTTGAATTGAAAGAATGTTTGTTACCTGCCGGTGAATGCTATTGAAGCTATTGTATGCTGTCAAACTTGGCAAAATAAACTTCATTGTTTGTGTGGAGGGTAGAGTATGGGTTGCAGCAAGAACTTACAGTACAATGTAAGGTAGGAAGAGCTTTTAGTGCTGTGGGAAGATCACTTTTGGGAGTCAAGAATTGTCTTTTAGTGCTGGCTGTCACAAACCAGCTTTGTGGTCTTGAACAGAACACTTCACTTCTCTGGATCTTCGTTTTTTAGCTAAAAAATTCTGCATTTCCCTGAACATTTGTTTAGATTCCTTCACTCATTATCGTACTATGAATATGCAGTTATTTAAGAAGGGCAAAAATAAATCCTCAGGGCATCTGGAATCCAGTAGTTAGAAGGCAGTAGGTGATTATGGACACTTTTCATGGTATACATGTTTTATCAAATGGAAACAGTGTAGTATTAAGACACTGGCTCTGGAGTTGGACTGTATCTAGGCTCTCTCAATGGCAGCCTGTGACCTTGGACAAGTTACTTAACTGTTCCTGTCTCACTTTTCTCATCAGTAAGACTTGGTCCTCAGTGTGTGAGAATTAAAGGAATAAATGTAAGGCATGTGGAAAGGGCTCAGCGAGTGGTAGAGATTACTGTTATTCCATTTAGAGCGCAGAAGCAAAATATGGGATGGGACAGGAAAAGGGGCCTACGAAGATAGTAAACCATTTTCTTGTTTTCCCATGGCACAGGCAGATTGTGGGGATTTCATTTTTTAATGACACTTTCTACAAAATGTAACATATACTTCCTATAGTGAAACATAAATTGAAACTGAAAAATAAGAGACTTACTCCATGTAGTTGAACACTATAAAATTGTGTCAAAGGTAATATTTGTGAGCTTGATGATTATTTTAGGGTGATATTTGAAAAGTATGAGTTCTTTGCATTTTACTTTTTCATTTCACTATTCTGTGCTTCCAAGGAATGGGATCTGAGATTTTTTTTTTTTTTTTTTAAGCAAATTTAAGGGGCTCCTGGGTGGCTCAGTCGTTAAGCGTCTGCCTTCAGCTCAGGTCATGATCCCATGGTCCTGGGATGGAGCCCCTGCCCGCGTCGGGCTCCCTGCTCGGTGGGGAGCCTGCTTCTCCCTCTGCCTGCTGCTCCCCCTGCTTGTGCTCTCTCTCTGTCAAATAAATAAATAAAATCTTAAAAAGAAAAAAAAAAGAAATTTAAAATTTAAGCTTACCTGGCCTGTTTTTTTTTGTTTTCCAAGATCTCTAGAAATTTTAAATATATAAACTTCCCCTTTGTGGAGGAACAAGCTAGCAAACCTTAATATTGTATGTAGTAGTATGCAGTAGAAAACTGTTTCTAAAATTGACTCTAATTTGTAAAAATTAGTAATTGTTACAAATATTAAATGGTAAATGGGCAATCATCTCATGTACATATTTAGTTTATTTGAAACATTTTTCTGTCATACAGTTATATTCTTTCCACTTGGTTCAGCACTATACAACTCTGTAACAGTTACTTTCTTGCCTGAAAATTCTTCACTATTTTATTTTTTCTAGTATTATTTGACTTATGAACGAAGATAGGTAATATCTCTCACAGTTTTTTATGTTGGGGTTTTTGTTGCTTTTAACAAAAAAGAATGACGTAAAATAATGTATTGAATAGAAACTGAATTCCTGACTGTGTGCTTAGGATGAAAGTGATTCTTTCTATGGCCCTGATGGGCATGTGCCTTTTAAAAAAAATAGTGAAATGTATGTATGTGAGGTTCATGTTTATCACCTAGAGCTGTAGTTTATTTCCATTGTTGCATGGAATTCCATTTTATGATTATATCACCATTATTTACCATTGTACTATTAATGGATATATCATTCATTTCCAGTTTTGGGCTGTTATACCCAGTTCTGGTATTTATGCATAAGTTTTGCTGAGACTTAACTTAGGAGTAGAATTGCTGGGTTATAGAGTAGTGTAACTTTAATTTCACTAATGATACCAAACTATCAAGGTTCCCACAAGGAGTGTATAAGAATTTCCTTGCTCTGCATCTTCTTTTCAACAGACATTTGGTATTGTCAGAATTTTTAATTTTTGACAATCTGATGTTACACAGGCAGATTGTGGGGATTTCATTTTTTAATGACACTTTCTACAAAATGTAACATATACTTCCTATAGTGAAACGGGAAGTTGCACTTGTAAGAAAACAGCCACTGGTCTGCAGTGGCACGAGGATTTCTCGCTCCTCTTGTTCCTTTCCAGTCTCTTGCCCCTT